GTAACTTTGTAATTCTATGTATTGTCATCGTGACAGCTAACCGTGCCTAGTATTACCTATGTAACTTTGTTAATTCATGAATTTGTCATGTGACAGCTAACCGTGCCAGTAATCCATGTAACTTTTGTAATTCATGAATTTTGTCATGTGACAGCTAACCGTGCCAGTAATCCATGTAGCTTTTGTAATTCGTGAATTTTGTCATGTGACAGCTAACTGTGCCAGTAATCCATGTAGCTTTTGTAATTCATGAATTTTGTCATGTGACAAGCTAACCGTGCCAGTAATCCATGTAACTTTTGTAATTCATGCATTTTGTCTATTTAATGATGTCTGAAGTATATAATGAATTAAAATGTTGATTTATCAGACAGTGAATCCTGAAGGTAGGGAAATGTGATTCAGTATGTTCCATTTATTAAGATAGTTGAATATACCATCTTAATAACTACAACACCTGTTATTAAGTATGTTCTTTGGTTTTAATTTTGTGATGATGTTTAAAGTGATGTTATATTTGAGCTTAACTTACCTACTTATATTAGGATTTACTTTACAAGCAAATAATACCTGTATACTAATATCATACATTAAACTTTTCCAGTCTCCAGTGTTTCTTCTTTTTTTGGACTGTGTGTGGCAAATTCTCCAGCAATTTCCATCCAGCTTTGAGTTTACAGAAACCTACCTTACTAATCTGTGGGACACGGTACACATAAGTTGTTTTGATACTTTTCTTTTCAACTGTCACAGAGAACGAGCAAATGCATATAGTAAGTTCTGTGAACTGCGTCGGCTACAGTCAGCATGGGATTGGTCCCTTCAGTTTACAAAGCAGGACATGATTTTTTTCAAAAATCCTTTGTATATTCTTACAGCCCAAGAAGGCATTAGTCATTCTAGACCTTGGTCACTTGCTTGTGATGGTCCATTGAAATCTCATATTCGGCCACTAACTCTTGCAAAGAAAGCAGAAGACAGAGAATCTGAATTGTTAGAGTTGGATCCTTCAGTGATGAACATGCAGCTGTGGAGACAGTGCTACCTACGTTGGATACCATTGGCTCAGGTGGTTGGAGGAGATCTTCCACTTGTGTATCTTCAAAATTTAGTTATTTGGGATGAAATCTGTGCATTACAGAAACTTTTAGAATCACCACAAGAACCTGTAAATCTTCGTCATCGTCGTGTGGCATCTGATAATACTCTATATAGAAGTGAAGTTGACAGTTCTGGTGGTGTGAAAAATAATACTCGTATTGTTACATCGTCCTTCCCTTACTCTCCAATTGGGCCCTTTGATTGGGGGCATTTTCACAGGGTTCCTTCAAGTTCTTACCTCCATGTGGATGTGGTTGGTGTAGATGAAGAACTGGATGAGTGACCTTTCAATATTATTAAGCATGCTTTAATTAATATTCAATGATTAGTTGTTAAAATTAAATTAACTGCTGTTAAAGTGAACTGATTTTTATCATAATATAAAGAAACCAAATAATTTATATACCAAATATGTCGTAGTTATTAAGATGTAAACATGGATTTTTAAATGTTCTTTAATTGTTGACAAAAATGTTTTTTTTTTTTACACAGCTAATTTTAATTGATTTTTTTTTTTAATTTCAGTAAGAAACTGACTTTCAGAAAATTTTCAGTTCTGTGACAAAGAATGTAAATTTTTATAACTAATTAAAGCCTTTTGGGTTATAGTTCTGTTATAGTAATAAAAATCATCCAACAGTTATATAAAACGTGATTTTTGGAGCCATGAAATACACAGAAAAAATACCTGGGGGTTTTGAGGCTATAATATGTAAAATGGAAAAGAAAAAATTATCATTTTCTATAGTTCTTCATATTCCTCCTTTGGCTAAGTGGTAAGTCTGAAGACTTCTAACACTAAAAGCCTGGTTTGGATACCCATGGTGGGCACAGCACAGATAGCCCATTGTGTAACTTTGTGCTTAACATCAAACAAACAACTTCTTCAAGTATGGTATTTTGTTACATTAGTAAAAGCTAACTTTCTGGAAAGGGGTAGACATTAGAAACTCCTATGGGAAAATCCAGACCACAATTGGGCCTATATTTTTAGTTTATAAAAAATGAGTATCATTGGGGTAAAAAACTTCATAAATCAACAACCATGTTTTTTCTGCTGGAGTGTTAAATAGGTTTGCATTTTATTTTTTATCCACAAATGACATAAGATACTCGTCTTTAATTAGATTTCACAATGTTTTTATTTTATGCTAAAATATATTAGCAAGAATAAAACAGTGCTGATATTGTTCTCTTAATTTTCATTCTACCTATTTTTACTTTGAAAACAGAATAATTGAAGTGTGATGAGAATATAAAAATAGAATGAAAACTGATTGATGTTGACAGTTAACAGCATAACATGTCCTTTGGTAGGTCAGTTGTAAGTGTAGGAGCACATGACTAAAATCCGGCATTCAGTTCCCCATAGTAGACAGAGTATAGATAGCCTTTTGTGTAAGCTCTTAAAAACATTAAGTTACAATTGATGTTTTAACCCTTTTGTGGTGGCATGAGAAAAAATGAGCAAAGCTTAATTAAAGAGTGCCACCATAAAATGGTTAACACATGAAGTATATCTTCAATATTTTAAAGACCTTTTAGAATTTATCATCATACAACTCTTGATGATGGAATTTGAAACATTTATACTTTCTGTATAACTTTGTGCTAAACAAACAATACATTTAGGAACTTAGGACGTCATACATGTTGAAAAAATGGCATTTTCCATAAATGTGCAAGACCCTCTGTAAAAACAACTTTACTTGACAATGATCAGAACAACATGAATGGGAATACATCAAAACATTCTTCAATTGACAGTACAAAATCACTCGGGCCACAAAAGAAAGAATATGAATGTGCTACTTTTCTATTTGGCCATGGTGACCAAATACAAGATAGGCCTTGTAGGGGCCACTACCATCAATCAGTAAATATTGAGTGATACTGTATTTTATTGCTCTTACAATAAAGCCATAGTTGTAAGAAGCTAGGTGTACTAGTTCCCATGAGTAAATCTGCAACTAAGATAAACTATTGAATATATTGTAATATGAAATACCTATTATAGGAACGTGAAGTTCTCCAACCTATTTTATCTTATTATAGTTTTCTATCTGATCTCATTTTTCAGTTAAAACCAAACTAAAGTTAAAAAAAACATGAAGGAAATTGTGACCTCTAAGCAAAACATGCACAAAGATCACGGTTTATTTACGGCAAGTGATGCCACAAGAAAATGACAGAACAACGTACACGAGCCCCATGTAACCAATTGGGATCCCCCACATAAAGATCCTCCAGGCGGGTCTGCGGTAAGTTTAGGTGTTCGATTCCCCACGATGGACACGGCAGATAACCCAGTGTGGCTTTGTGCTAAAACAAACAGCAACCCACATAAAGACAAAAGGTTATGTCAAGCAAAAAAGTACAGAACATGTCTATAACGAAACCCTATAGGACAATTTTATACTTTTACTAAAGAGAACTCTGACCTTAAACTAGAAATAAACATAGCTAAATAAAAACAATAATAAAATTTGCAAACCTAGACGGAACTCAATTTACATAATGTAAGAAAGTTAGGTTGGAAAAATAGTTTTGCATCGTCAGTACAGTGCATGTAATTTTAAACGTACTGTATCAGAATATAGGTTAACATTCTATCTTAGACACAACAAACTAACCCAACTATCTACTGTAATCAATAAAAACCAAAGCCAGACACAAAGAAACTAGACTATTCATTAAACGTACTAATTTTAACCCGATATAGCCAAACCACAACCAGGCTAAACCAGAACAATCTTTCTAAATGCAAAACTGTCTAATCCAGCAATTACTCTCGTATAAATCTTCATCATCAGGGTTAGTTAGTTCAGATAGCCCTGTTGTAGCTTTTCTTGAAATCCGACAAATAAACTTCCACAGCTATTCAGAACACACTATTTCTAAACAATTAACACACTATCACAATTATAAATATTACAATAATGCAAAAATATAAACTGTTGAATTGAAAATTCTAATACGCGTTGCAAAAATAGGGTGACAGATCGAAACGTGCAATGTATTATCTTCTAAACTGCTACTCTTGTACATGTTAACCTTCTTTTACAACATTACGGATGTATGTGTCATGTTCTCGAGTACACTGATTTCTAACAAGTAAATATAGAACCTACTCGGGTTAGAGGTTTGGCAGAAAAGTTATATTGCATTCTGAGTAATATGAGAAAAGAGACGAGATACAAGCTTTACAACAAAACAAAAACATCTATTCCTCTTTATAAGCCTCTGGACAAACAAATAAATCTCAATCAAAAGACATGCACCCGATATGAAGGAACTTCACACTTCTATTGAGATATATTTATTATATGGGTAAGACTGAGAGTATCAATGACTAGATATATATATATATATATATAACCACAAAATATACAAGTTTCCACATCTGGATACAAATAAATATTCTAATCAGTTTTTCTCTCCTTTATTATTTTCTTCTATTGACTTTAAAGATTATTCTTCATGATGTAATTTTATAGATAATCTGTAATAAAAAAAAAACGTTCAAATATCAACTTTCAACTAAACATAAGTAACCTGAATCAAATACGTATTTCTTAAAAGGTACAAACATAAAATACAATCCTTTAATACATTAAAGTATACCAAAAAATAAATTAGTTTAAACTTATCATACATACTTTCTTTTCTATTCCTTTGTCATTTCTATTTTTTGATTTAACCTTTTATTTTGATAATTCTTTCTTCTATTAGTATAGAAAAGCTGTTGATTTCTATAATGTTTGACAAATTAATACAAAATGTACCTCTTGCTTACTACTGTTACACAATTCCTACTAACTTTACTCAGCTAATGTTACTTCTCCCTTCTTACCTCTATCGATTTAAAGTGGCATGAAAAACAAATGTATGAAATATTTTTCGAAAGTTAATCTTTCATGTTACCTACCCAAAAAGGGAAACATATCGTTGCGTCAGCGAGGTCACGTGACTAGTATCACGCCACCTCTTTCTAGAAATATCCTGTTCCTTCAAGAATGCCCTCGCCCAAGAAGTTAATGCTTCCAACGTTGATCATCCAGGAGTTGTTGAATTGGCTCAATTTTTTTGCCCCTGTATTAAATCTAAAACCACTAGTAATTTTGTAACATGATGGTCCCAGGTGTACTGGTTCTCATGACTAAATTACGAACTAAATTAAAGAAAAATGTTTGATATATAAAGACATAAAATATATATTCCAGAAAATCATTTATAAACCAATATGGTATTAATACTACCAAGTACAAGTGTTTCTTTCTATTCAAATATAGAAAAATGAACCACAGAGTTTTAAAGTTTTTTACACTTAAGTGCAATTGACACACATATAACTAACTTTGAACTGACTTGAACCAGTCGCAAATTCTCCAGGTTTAGTCCTATTGATGTTTCTGTAAATCTTTACATGTCTAGTGTTTCTGGAGAATTCAGATTTTTTCCTAATAGAGTTCCTAGCTTCATTATTCCTGTGAAAATACAGAAATATTGACGAGTCTGCCTTACGCCTTTTCTCTTATTGGAAAAGACTAAGTGGCAATGGCGACTGAGAAAAGAATATCACTCTTTTCTGTGATAGCCATATGTAACCTACACTTATTTAGAATTACTAGTGCATAAAAATGGTAAAAGACGGTTCTTGTGCCTTAGTTAAATAAACTGAAAACTCCACAACCCAGAATGGTTCACAATAACTTATTAAAACAGCACTAGGTTCGTTGACCAACTTTGTATGTCTCTGAGGTATTCTATCTCAAAAACATCTGGTCCTTTTGACATCCAGTTTACAAGGATATCATAAATACGTGCATAACATTGCACGAAAAAAAAACAAAAACAAAACAATACTATATATTACTGCAAATATATTATAAACTATTTATAAAAGGGTAAAATAATAGCCTATACACTGTGTGTAATATGAACTAGCTTCATTGGGTTATAAAGCAATATTTTTATTCAGTCATATCGTTGTCAGTGGAAAAACAACAACAACAAAAAAAAACAAAAAACGTATTATTCCCCGAAGGAACAGCCGCAAGTCTACGAATTAACATTCGGCTTTGCTTTAAAAGAAACACTGTATTAAAGTTACGTCGTGAGGATGCATTTTCCATGATGTTAAATTATTGTCACTTTGGTTTGTTTGCTTGTTTTTGAATTTCGCGCAAAGCTACACGAGGGCTATCTGCGCTAGCCGTCCCTAATTTAGCAGTGTAAGACTAGAGGGAAGGCAGCTAGTCATCACCGCCAACTCTTGGGCTACTCTTTTACCAACGAATAGTGGGATTGACCGTCACATTATAACGCCCCCACGGCTGAAAGGGCGAGCATGTTTGGTGTGACGGGGATTCGAACCCACGACCCGCAGATTGCGAGTCATGCTCCCTAACCACCTGGCCATGCCCGGCCATCACTTTAGAATACTAGTGTGAGGAAAGCGACTTATTTGACTCTGACGTAGTATTAGTTTTCTTCCTATCTATTGTTTATTTAAGTGTTATTTTGTTTTCATGTCTACACATTGGACCCGTGTTTCTTTTTTGATAATTATAAGGGTAGTTTATAAAAATAACAGAAACGTAGCTAGTTTTCAGAAATCTAAACCCATAGTCTCTTGGTATTTCTCATATATATGTAAATACAAAGGATTTTTCATGCTAAAATCTATCAAACTAAGGCATGACAACATATATTGTAATACCAACTGTTCCAAATATTAGTATGTAAAACATACCACACGTTTTCGTCTCTTTTAGTTTGAAAAGACGAACGTTTCCTGTTCATCAAAATTAAAAACACTTTGAAAAATGTGCAGATAACTGGTTTTAGACTGCTAATGGGAGTGACTAGGTGACGTGAATAACATATGTATTCTGGGAAGTGTAATCCTATTTAAATAAGTATATATTGGTCGATTCCTTCAGTCTAGATCAGATTTATATTTTTATTCAGATTGAAAGCTATTTAGAGAAAAATGTGGCCTCACGACGTGTATATACATGCATCAGACTTTTATCGAATTTTTCAGTTTGTCTTGTGTCTTACAGATAAGTAAAGTACTTTTTTTTACTGTAAAACCTTTGTCCTCTCTATATT